GGTGAATGTAGTCTGACGCCGTGACCAATATTTATCAATTAAGTTTCAGTGGGGGGTAAGGGGGTTTGGAAAAAAACTAAAGGAATTAAGTTTTTTATCCGATATTGACGTCGTTCCTAAAGTAACACCCCTTAGTAGATAATGGAACAATCTGCAGACTTTGTGATGGAGGTTCAAATACATGTATGCATCATGTGAAAATTTCAAGCAGAGAAAGAGAGATTCATGTTTTGATGACGTGACTATGCAAGACTCATGTGTGGTGAAGATCTGAGACAACAAGCAGATCAAACAAAGACAAAACCATGTTAAGGTAATTGGCTACCATTAAAACAATTAAATGATCAGATGTCTTTGACGTTTACACTTTTATTTTTTTGCTGTTGTTCACGAAACCCATAAATATATGATCACCATATTGCTGAATTTAGAGCTATTTATCATTAGTTTCTATGGTAAAAACTTCTCAGCATATCTCCAAATTTTTTTTGGCTACATAAGGTGAAAAGATTATATGAGATGATGGGTACTTGTCAAGAATTATTCAAACATTAAAAGCATTATTGGTACTACCAGGGAATTTATTTTTTTATGAAATAATGCTTTAAGATGGACGCTGATTACATTTATTGTAGGTATGCAGTTTTTCTCTATACAAAAAATTTCGCACTGGGAAAAAAATCTGAAAAAATTGATAAAAAAGTTATCACCCTAGTGCAGTAGGTTGAATATCCAATCTAACCATAATCATTTCAAGTATTAGCACACCAATCACTTTATTTAGCGAAAGGAGACAATAATCACCATAGTCTTAAAGATGTCAGTATCTCTTTTGTCCTCACTTTCATCTAGATCTGAGAAAAATCTGTTTTTATTCAGTGTAAGAATGTAATGCATTAGTTACTCATTGAGTATCTGCAGATTCACAGGCAGCACCAATACATAGTCCTGTTTCTCAAGACAGCACGATTTTTTGGCCTTGTTTTTTTTTAGGTATTACACCTTACTTTCTTCTCTGTGCTCCCTTGTATTTTTGCCAGAAGCTCAATCACAAAAAATAAAATACTCAACATCCTGTCAACATGCTAGATAGATAATTCAAATTTCACATTTCAAATTGTCAAATTCTTTGTTTCCTGATTTTTTTAACTGTCAACAGAAGAGAATGGTGTCCAACTACATACAAAAATATAATTCAGTAAAATTGCATTTTCAAAGATTTATCGAAGCAGACCATGAAAAAAAGTTACCAGACCACGGGGCATGTAAGTTTTAATTTTTACCAGCCTGACTTGAATGTTACCCATTTTTCAGACATACTGGTGGGCTGTAATTTCAAACACTGGTTATATCCATGAGACCTCCAGTTCAAAGTAACTTACAATAGTGAGTGTGCCTGCTGGTGGCATGGTTACCATGGTGACCTGCAGTGTAAACTCTTTGATTACTTGATTAAATTTCACTGGATCAACCTCCTTCTTCAGTTTAGGCAGTACACTAGAAAACAAAAATGATTGCGACATGACACAAAGTCAAAGTTAATACAAAGTGTCAGTATATGTGTTGAGAACACAATTAATTTAATACAAATTTTTGCACGTTATTGTGTCACAGTTACAAGACTAATACTCAAGGAGGCAGCAACCATGTTGTGTTGGGATACGATAAGTTCTAAGGCGTAGTTTCATTTAACAAAAAATTTTCGATATTGCGTTCATTGCGAAATTCAAATTTTCAAGAAACAAATAAAAAGGTTGTCAATTGTTCAAAATAACTCAGGTAAAACTACAATGAAAACTACATTTTGACAAACTTGCATTCCAATATTAATAATAATCATAAAATAGAACCAGTTTGAAATTACCGCAAGTCAGAAATATGTAAATGAAACTTTTAATCATGTACTGTAAAATACTTTATTTTAGCTGGAATTAATTTTCTCTGAAAAGACTTTTTGGATGTTTTGCATGGAATTTATTTTCACTCATTTTTGGAGAGTTGATTGAAAAGTATAGGAAAAAGGGTATATTCACTGAATTTCATTTTCTCTGAGTCATCCCTTTAACGAAAATACCGAAAATTAATTCCAAGCGAAAATAAAATATTTTATAGTGTTTTGAGAGAATTTCGTCGAATATTTCGTAAATAATAATTTTCCAATCATGGATGTCAAACTTTTTTCAACTGTATGTTTTCACTTCGCAATCTAACCAAACATATACTGTGAAATACTTTATTTTCGCTGAAATTAATTTTTGCTGAAAAGCCTTTTAGGGTGTTTTGTATGGAATTTATTTTCACCGATTTTTGACGAGTTGAATGCAACATCTAAAAAAAAAGGTATATTCGCTAGATTTTATTTTTACTGAATTATTCCTTCAGCAAAAATTAATTCCAAGTAAAAATAAAGTATTTTACAGTACTGGAATGGTAACTCACCTTGATAGGCAGTCTTTCATAACAGAGTAATAGGGACATTTAGATATTAAGACAACACAGGTCGGTAGGTAACATCGCTGGTACACATCATCTATTAATAATGATGGTTCCGCCTCTGGCAGTAAGTCAAAGTATCCGTCATCTTCACTCTGAAATTCAAACAGTACAACACAAAGATTTTTCCAAAATGAATATTTTAGCTCCGCTGTCAACTTTGTCGAGCGGAACTTATCATATGAGTGATTGTCCGTCGCCGTCCGTCATCCCTCGTCGGCGTCGTCGTCATTAAACAGTGATATTTTCGACTTTTTGTTAAAAACCGCAACTCCAATTGCTTTTATATTACATATATAGGTACTACATGTGGACCTCTCTCAGATTTTGTTCATTTTGTAATATCTTTAATTCTCTAATTTTGGTGAATATTTTTGTCATTTTTGGTAAAAAGTGTTATTTTTGACTTCTTGTTGAAAACCGCAAGTCCAATTGTTTTTATATTAAATACATATGTACTACGTGTGGACTTCTTTCAGATTTGTCCTGTTGCTTTTTATATATATATATATATATTGTTCATTTTCTTATGATATCTTCAGTTCTTTAATTGTAATGTGCATTACTAACAGCGGAGCTATCTCAGCCGAGAGGCTGCTTGTTTAAGTTTTTTTATACTATCAGTCACCAGAATTTTTCATAATTTTCTAACTTTACAGCACTTTCCTCAAATTTACAAACAAAAAGTTCCCTTTATAATACAAAAGATGGTAATTTAAACATAATATACAGATATCCATGGAAATATTTAATATCAAAAGTAAAGCAAAGCTCATAACTATGAGGGCGCTATAACAATGTTGTTTGTTTATATTCTTCAACCAAAGGAATGATAATGTCTAGCGGTAATTGATGATGTTGAATATAGTTTCATACAAACATTGGGAATTTTATCATTTTTAGTATACTGGAGGTCAGACCTTGTTTTTGAGAAAATCGATTGTTTATATTATGCAGTTAGGGACAACGTCAAAAGATCGATGTCGGATAAAAAACTTAATTCCTTTAGTTTATTTCCAAACCCCCTACCCCCCACTGAAACTTAATTGATAAATATTAGTGAGGTTATGGCGTCAGATTACATTCACG